GACGCGTACTCCACATAACGTATCTTTTAGAGACGTATCGTACATAACGCATTCTTTAGGAGGGAGCCGTCGATCTCGCGGCCCGGGCGGTTCAAATGGGGGTCGAGGCTCCGTTGAGAGAGCCTTCAGCATTTTGATTTTATAGTAATAGTATGATTTAATTAATAGCGAAATTCAGTGAAATTACCCCAGTGGTTATGTGCTGTCAAGAAAAAAGTATATGGTAGGGTTAAATACAAAAATAAGTCATATTTTGGTAGTCCGAGCAGTTTCAGTAGACATAAATTAAACAAAGTAATCTGCATTTCAAATCATACAGCAGTTTCGAACTTCATAGCATATCACGGGTCACAGTTTGAAGGATGAAGAAAAGAAAGAAGGCACTTTAAATTTGGGCTAAAATGTGGGAACCTTTTTAACTATTGCAGAGATGGTATTTTTTCGGTTGTTAATTTTTTTAGATTGGAACAGTGAAAATGTATCTGGTCCCTCATTGTTTAACTTTAGTGCAAGAGCCCTCATTGTCAAACCTTGTTCTTCCAGCTATTTCAGGGTGCCATTACTAATATGTTGGGATTCAAAATCTGTTTTCAGCCCCCCCAATAGTTTTTTTTTTTTACATTGTCTAAGTCAATAACTCTATTTACATAAGCAGAAAGCGGCTTCATGCCCTATCAACCTTCAGATACACACAGAGCTGTTTCAGGATTTTACAGTCATACAGAGCTTCATGTGCCTTTAGGTAATTGAAAGCAGGAACATATTTTTTAGCAAGATAACCCTCTGATGCTTCGGGCTGTCTCTTTTTATTGTCTGGTTCCTCTCCGGTATTAGATTGAGTAATACTGAAGTCACGCAGTACAACAGGATGAGCCTTCATGAGCGGGAACGTGTCTGACACACCTACCACTAACTGAGCTAAGCTTGGCAGTGCGAAGTAACAGGAACATAGATTGATCAACGAATACAAATCAGCACTAGCATTTATGAGCAACCAATAAAGCTCGAGACGCTGTAAATATTTAAAGAATAAGTTCATCATTTTGTACGTTGATGTGTGACCTTTACAGAGCTATTATTGAAGCAGAGTTCCCCTCGAATGATGCTAAGATGGTTCACTTTGGAGGCTTTTCTTGCTATTCCTCGAGTTGGACAACCATACGCAGACAATTTTCCACACTCTGGCCCTCGCAATTTGCATGCAATCTGAACTATTTCTCCATGCCCACTGGTCTCTGTGTCAAAAAATACAAATTTAAATCCAGAAACAGTAGGGAGGAGAGTGTCTTGCACTTGACAGACCCCCCCCCCCCCCCCCCCCCCCCCCCCCCTCCCCACCCACATGGGAAATTATCTGGCACTGGCTGCTTAAAACCCATACCAGATTCATATAAGACGCCCTCTCGATTTTCAAGCATTGATTTTAAGCTGTTTCGTTTGACAACTAGAACCTTCCGTCTACTCTTCTCTTGTAACCAGCAAGTCTAGCCCGAGCCATGTCCATCCGGATACGGAATTTTTGGACTCCAGTAGAAGGGGGAAAGTTAAGCTTTTCAAAGACTTTCCCAGCATATTGCGTCCACTTGTTAAGCTGAGCAACTGCAGCAGAAAATTGACTTCTATAACGACTTGTACCCCCAGTGAAAGTGTGCTTAGGAGCTTTACAAATGAAAACACTTTTTGCAGATTCATTCTGCCTGTGGGGAAGCCCCAAGTGCAATACCCTCTGCTCCAACAGCATATTTTTAAAAATAGCTGACTATTCACCTCGTAATCCCTCTCCATCATTACCATCATTGCCAAAATATTTATGCTGATATTCTAGAGGGTTCTGTAGATAGCCACACCATGACACTTTGCATTTACTATGATCACCAAAAGCATGTGGAGTGAGAGCTAAAATATCTGACCTAACACTCTCTGCACTGCCTACGTTCTGCTTTACAGCAGCACCATAGCAATTAACAAAATAAAACATATGTTTAGGTTTGAAAAGCTTACTGAATTTTTCCATTACCTTGTACAAGTCATTTCTGGCATGTTTTTTGGTGTGGTTGTGGTAGGGCTAATGCCATTTTTCTAGACAGTGTGGACAATTCCCGCTTGATAGCAGCCATGGTGAGGTATCAACGTTCTAGCAAGAGCCTTTACAACAACACCAACTTCATCGAGGTCATTATTTCTTTCCACCATGCGTACTGCTGCTTCAGGTTCGGTTGCTTTAGCACTGCCCTCAAAAACGCCCTCACATTCATGAGGCCCGTTGTCTCGCTGCCCTTTGCACTCTTTGTCGAGTCGTAGTACAGCGTCTCCGCGCTGCAGCTGATTTCGCTTCTGTGCAACCCGGCTGATGCTGGCGGTGCATAGTGGATAAACCGTGGGCCTCTGGTTGTGGATGGCATCCACCACAATGCGGTCGATTTTGTCTAGGTCCTCTTCTAGTCTTTTGTCGTAGGCCATCATCAGGGGCGTCGGAACTTGTTTTGCTGGGGGGGGGGGGCAAGTACCTAAAGGGCCCGGTTTTTTCCCAAAAGGGCCCGGATTTTACGTATGCGTAGTATTTTTTTAGAATGCGTAAAATGCAGGATTTCGCGAAGAAATAACGTCAAAATACTTTATTTTAGTCAATATTTAAGTGATTTTATTGTTTGTTATTAGAATGATAACATTAATCGGAAACCTTAACAATTCCAAAGATCCGTCGCCATTCAGAAGTCCTACTTACAAATTCGTGCATGATTTTATCAAGGTTCAATTTTAGAGATCTATCCTCTTTCCTTGTGTATATGAAGTACAATAAGGTGCGTTAACCTGCTCTGCGTCATGCTTGAACGCATGTAGGTCTTAAGACCCTTGAGGCCGCTAAAGGACCTTTCACAGGAAGTAGAAGTAGCTGGCACCGTCAAGAGTGAAATCACCAGCCGCGTCACCTGATCAAGGAGGCTTTCTCGGACCATAGGGGGCGCTGACTTCAGATCTTCGGCATTGCCGCAAGGTCTTCGACTTTTGGAACATGATGTCGAATAACTTAAGCTGAGTCGACAGCTTGTCGATATCGAAATCAGTAGCGTGGATGCCAAGTGTGTCCTTAACTGCGTCTGCGTCTCTGGGTCCACCGGCGAACAAGACCTTCATTAACAAGGGAAGGTTTTCCGGTGATACAGTCAATTTCAATGGCGCCTTAAAGTGTTGTTGTTTAAACCCCCAGGATAAGGTTTGGCACTGGTTTTAGCTACCCGTAGGAAGTGTGAAGGTCGTTGTACGCGAATTTAATTGAAAATTCATCAAATTTATAGCCTGATTATCAACTTTACATGCACATATCTCAAGAACCGTTCGGGCTACAGCACCCAGATTTTGAGGGAAATCATAACTCGGTACGTTCTTTACTGGAAGGAAATTTAAATAAAATAGAATATGGTCGCAAAAACTGGTCCCGAGAGGAGGTTACGACCCTGGACCCCTTTTGGTGACCCCCACTGATTTTGTTCAAATATTTTTCATGGAAAGTGCTCACTGGCAGAAAACGTCCTGCAAAATCTGGGCGCTGTAGCACTAACAGTTCCGGAGATATATGCATGCAAATATGGCGATAAAGCAATACATTTTTTTAAAAATCAGATTCGCGAAAAATGACCTTCAAACACCCTACGGGCAGCTAAAACCAGTGCCAAACCTTATCTAGGGATGCAAACGACTACACTTTAAAGTGCCATTAAAATCTGACTGTATCACCGGAAAACCTTTTCAGCAACTTGCTTTCTGGACGAAGCTGCTACACTGCTGCATGGCGCGCTGCTCTCTCCTGAAATAGACAAATATCATCCTTAGCTACATGTGCTGATATGCGTTTACATCAAATGTAGTCAGCAAACTTACCGAATAAGGATGAAAATTTGGAAGAGTACGCCCAGTCGACGACTGGCGTTCCACCAGCAGCTGCCTGCGGTGCCTTTTTTTTTTCTTTTTTTAAGGAAGTGTAATTTGTAGCAGTCCTGTAAGAAATCACCACATACATTTGTAAGGAAAGTGTAAGTCAGGGATTGGAACTTAGCAACACATGCATTCACCATTTTCAGGTACTTACCTACGAGGCTTAATATGAGGAATAAGAAAAGTTAGAGCCTCATAGAATACCCATGTTGACTTTTCCACAGGTGTGAATGCCTGGCCACTGCACCCTTGTTGGAACTTCTTCTCTTTGTTTCTCTCCTTAGAAAACTTCTCCCGCAGACTTTTGAAAATTTTCCTTGCTTGTTCACCTATAAAATAGAGCAAATCATAACCACATGTTCACATGGCTCCCCAAACATGCATGTGTAAAATAACAAGATTCACTTACCAGATATGGGAGGGTTCATCGAGGCCCCTACAGTTTCACAGGAGCGAAACCTCGTACCGACCGGAACTTATAGGACTTAATACTAGAAATGTCATTGATCGACGACACGCTGAAGTCCTCTTTCAGAATATGTTGCGTTTGTTCCACAGCGCGTTTGTCTGCAATTTAAAATAGGAAGAAATGACAACTGCCATGTAACCTGTCTATCATAAACACTGATAAACTAAAATTCATACGAAACTTACGATATCAAACCACTTTTCAACAGCGTTGTTTGTAAGGAGGAGTGAGTCAACGTTTACCTGTCTCCTTACAAACGTTCTGTTCAGCAGTGGTAAATATGCCAAATGCTGATGTTCCAAGTAGTCCATGAATCCGCTTATGAAGTAACTATTATTTTTACCCTGTTGCGGCTGGGCACTAGCAAGGTCTCCTATGACACCGTGGAAGAAGGTGTAGGACTGGCTTTGCTTGTAGAGGGTCTTTCCTCCCACAGCAGCGGTTGATAAAGGGGATGATAGCCTCGCGATTCATTGCCATCATAACAGCATGAATTAGCGCCCTGAAAAATGAGAAAAATACGTCGCTATTATTTCCGAGGAAAAAGCTTAAGTAGCTCGCACTCTCTCATTTTGTGAGCTGCTTAGTTTTGACTTACCAGCTATCATCGACCACTATAGTTTAAAAGAGTCGATCTGCGTTTGACCACGCATTACTGCATTGGTATCGCAGTTGCACCAACCAATTAATAAAAGCGGGTGAGCTCTGTGTTGTCAGGAACTCCGACCCAGGAGCACTGCCATGCCCTTCCGGCTTCACAACTAGAGCTCCATATGAGACAGGCTGCTCTGGCTCTCCCTGGGCGACTGGTGGAGCGTTGTGGATGAAGCCTCCCGTTGTATCAAGATACCCCGTGTGGTATCTTTACTGGTTTTCAGGATATCCATCTGCTTTTGACGTGTCCATGCGACCTGTTGATAATAAATCAAAAATAAATACATTAAGCTCTCTGCGCTAATATCTGGCTTGAAGCTGTAAGGCATGACTGGGAGAATTCACTAAAAATTAAAGCACAAAATTTAATTTACCATAAAAGTGAAAATCTAAAAAAGGAGACTAAATAAAAAACATTGCTTATAATTGTTGTCGTACTAACTTACTTTAAAATTTCATTTGAGCTATGGAATGAGGAATGACCAAATCCACCAAAAAACTTAGCGCACAGAAATACAAAAAAGTTACGTAAACTGTTAAGTTCTAAAATTCTGTGGGCTTTACTTTGTTGGTCGATTTGCCCATACCTGAGCTCAAATTAGTTTTTAAAGTAAGTACTTCAGTTCTAAGAATTATTATTTTACTGGTTGAAGAGAACTACTATATATGGTGCAAAAGTTAGGGAAGAGGACTGAACTTATTAAATGTGCTGGATCTGTGGATGAGAGTTCATACTTACTTGCGGTCTTGGAAAGTCTGTATTAATCAATATGGAGGCTGGCTTCATTTTTCTTATCTGTATCCTCAAATCCTCCTCTTCATTTGGGTGGTTCTGCCCCACTTTGTAAATCAAATTGGGTTAAGTATCAAATTTCATGTTGAATTTGTGAATTACAGTTCTAAATTCAAAGCTACATTGTTTTTAAAGCAACAAAAGTAATGTTTGCATGAAATGGAGTTCGCTGAATATTACCTTCTCACGCAGACTACTTGATTTCTTATAAGGGTGAAACCTTTCCTCTGACTTGTGCTTCGAGCTTGAGCTGCTTCCACTTTTCTTTCGATTGAGCTCCTTCTCTTGCCACATATTGTTTAATCTAACAAGATTAGAACAGTGCTCTTCTGCTCTCTGTAGGGCAGCGTTCAGCTCCTTAATTTCCTCGGCCTGGTCAGCACACTTGCGCTTCAATCTCTGGACTGTTGACATCGTAAATTCATCTCCAAGTTCATCACTGGAACTGGCGCTCTGAAATTAAGTCGAGTCAAAACATGCTCTTCTCAAAACAATTTATCCCGGAATGTGAGTATTATTATTCTTACTTGTTCTAGGCTTTCATCATTTAAGATTGACTTTAAGTTTTGCTTTCGGCCGTTTTCCTCAACAATTTTCATGTGGTTACGAGAACTAGGCGCCCTCTCCTGAAATGTCAAGTAATCGAATATGAAAATATTGCTAATAAGTCATAACACATACAGGTTAAGATTAAAACTTACAGAAGATTTACTGGTCTGCTTGGCATCTGAAACTTGTCGCATCCTGGTCGAGCCTCTGCTGGATCTTGAAAGATTGTTGCTTTCTGAAGAATTGACCACTGAATTCAAATCTTCGAGGCTTTCTGAAATATGCAAAGATACATCCATTTCAGTACAAACAGGTAGCAGAAACTAGAGAGAAACATCTGAAGTGGGCACTCACCTTCCCACTGCCGCAATGTTGCTTTGTACCATCCTGGAATACCATTTTTATTCGCAGGTTTTTTTAACTCAAGGGCATAAGTTCTTTGGTCAAGATCATCTACTTTACTGACACGTCCTTCTGATCTACGCAAAGATTCAGGGGTATCTCTTTCTTTAGAAGAGTAAAAGACCAAGTACTCTTTTCGCTTGATGTTGCCTCTCAACTCTCTTTCAACTTTGTCAAAGTCCTGTACGTGCTGGAGAGGAGCTTAATAGTCTAATCCGTCGATGAAAGCCTTAACGTGCACCCAAATTCCTTCTCCTCCCATTCCTACCAAAGTAAAGTCAAAGCTAATTTTTTTCAGATATGAAGTACAAAATTCTCCACCAGGTCTCCACGATGTACACACAACAAAAGGATAGGTTAGTTGACTGCCGGAGGATACGTTCTCCCGGCTCCCCAGCTAGCATGGGATATGGTCACAGTGGTCAAATGTACTACGGGCTAGTCTGCTAAGCAGAGTTCTCAAACGGGTGGGTCTTGCGGCTGCTTTAGGACCCGCCACTGCGGGTGGGGCGGGTGGGTCGAGCGGGTATGGGCTACCCGCCGCACTGTACGGAAGGTGCAAGTGGGGGATCAACCGCTCTAACCGCGATATCTTCCTTATACAGTGTAGAATCGAAGATTTACGCATAGTGTGTGCTCTTTAGAACAAAGGCGTTTTGCTTCATAAAATTAAAACTAAAATTTTATTCAAAATTTATTAGAAACTACAAAGTAAAGCAGAATTTCTTCTGTTCACGGTGCATTTTTCAAAAGGAAACAAAAACTAGAAAACAACTTTGAAATACTTTTTTTCCCATTATTGTCATTATCCAGTTTTGTCGTACACAGTTAAAGTCTTACGAAGCAAAATGCCAAATGCTACCTACGAAGGATTTGCTCTCTACGAAGCGTCCAAATCCTTCGTATTACAAAGGATTTGGCATTTTTCTTCGTAAGACTTTAACAGTGTAGCGGTGTGTCCAATAACCTCTATTTCGCATATTTAGCTGGAAATTTAGCATGTTGCATTGCCCCCATTGAGCCGAGCCGGCTGCGTCACCTATCGGCTAGGCTCGTAGTGCGCGCTCTGTCGCACGCCTGGCCTGCGGGTAGAGGAACCCACCCGTTTGAGAACTCTGCTGCTTGTTTCCTATTTCTCTTGTCAATGTGAAAAGAAAATCGTAATTTACTCTTTGTCTCATTTAGTAACGTAATATTATGACATAACAACCCATAATTGGCAGAGACTTCTTGTTTATGGGGTTTCGCGTGGCGCTGGGCAGTAGAGAACGGACCCTAGACCGATGCAGCAGTAGCTGTTTATTATCGTGGAGATGGTTGATTTAACAGCATTGGAAAGGATTCGGGAGTTCCGGTTGAGTGTCGGCCGGGGACGGACGTGCTCTGCTGAGCTGGTAAGTGCTGTGCCACCCCCTTCCCCTCCCCTTTGTTTTGATCGGGAGGTTATGTAACCCGTTATGTCGTTAAAGTGCCATTAAAATCTGACTGTATCACTGGAAAACCTTTTCAGCAGCTTGCTTACTGGACGGAGCTGCTACACTGCTGCATGACGCGCGTCTCTTTCCTGAAATAGACAAAGATCATCCTTAGCTACATGTGCTGATATGCGTTTACAGTTTATCAAATCTAGTCAGCAAACTTACCGAATGAGGATGAAAATTTGGCAGAGTACGCCCAGTGGAAGTGTAATTTGTAGCAGTCCTGTAAGAAATCACCACATACATTTGTAAGGAAAGTGTAAGTCAGGGATTGGAACTTAGCAACACATGCATTCACCATTTTCAGGTACTTACCTACGAGGCTTAATATGAGGAATCAGAAAAGTTAGAGCCTCATAGAATACCCATGTTGACTTTACCACAGGTGTGAATGCCTGGCCACTGCACCCTTGTTGGAACTTCTTCTCTTTGTTTCTCTCCTTTGAAAACTTCTCCCGCAGACTTTTGAAAATTTTCCTTGCTTGTTCACACATAACATTGAGCATATCATCACAACATGTTCACATGGCTCCCCGAACACATGCATGAGTAAAATAACAAGATTCACCTACCAGATATGGGAGGGTTCATCGAGGCCCCAACAGTTTCCTACGCTAAGTTTTTGTCGGAGTTATTGCCATTTTTGTACCATGCACTCCTTTTCGCATATAGGGGAAGCCTTGCCTGCACTAGTGATATTAACCTTCTGGTATAACAAGGAGCGCCCTCCAGCTGTTCAGGCACAACATCATTACCAGTATCTTTATCTTGCACATCGTCATCACCATCATTGTCATTGTCTTCGTTCTGGCTATCCTCGCCTTCATGCTCCACTACCTCGTACTCAATAAAATCAAAAGCGTCCAACGACATTGTTTTTCTCGAAAAACACGAAACACGAAAAACAAAACTCAAGCTAACCGCTAAAAACACTCCACCACGCGGTCCTTAACTCTTGAAAACAACGATCCACCTCAGGCTTCCACGGACAACTGTCTGGTTTTGCCCACCGTGTCGGTCGAAGCTGCGGATTTGGATTTGAGAATACCAAGAGCACAGCTTCTGCGCATGCGTGAGTGAGCGGCGTAGGCGCAAGAGATGAAGATCGGCGATCTCTTGTGCCACCGCCTAATACCGGAAACAGAACTCTTATGCCACGGTCCTACGCCTTGCGCACCCTATTGTAGACGGCCCTTAACGAGGACCAGCAGGGTCAGAGTCAGGTTGGTGGCCAGGACAGCCACCACGTACGACTTGGGCACGAACAGCTCGATGAATGACAGCTCATCCCCCGCCGACGACGTGTCAACACGCATGGATTGGGAGGGAGAAGGGGATGAACACTGAGCGAGGTTGGATTATTTTCTCATGCTTCGGGGACATGTCTTGCGCAGCACACTCACACGGGAGCGAAACCTCGAACCGACCGGAACTTATAGGACCTAAATTATCAGGCATTTCGTCCATACAAATGAGTTGAACGGCATACTTTGGATTTAAGATTGAAAAAGAAGTACTGTTCAAAAATTGAACAGTCCTTTCCGAAATGTCTTTGCACTTCATTGGGCACCGTTTGCTAATACTAGAGATGTCATTGATATGGAACAAATTATGTATACAACCGTCGATACTTGAGGGGGAGTGGAAACGGGGCAAAAGACACACGATGAACCGATGTGAAGTTTTTCCGAAAGGGACCGTAGGGACCACTACGGGCAAAATACTCACGATCTATTTGAAGAATAATGCCATCATAAAAAGTGACAATTTTGTCCTCCTTATATTTTATTCTCACACGATCGTTCACCTTAGCATGAGTGCCATGGCCATCGGGAATTCTTTTCTGGTGAAGAACATCACTTTCGGGTTCGTCGTTCCGGCAATGCTTAAAGAACACCAGGAAATATGTTGGCTTCATTTTCAAGATTTATGACGATGATGAATGCCTACTACAATAACATAAAGTGGTCATGCCGTATTCAAGGTAACTTACAACGCATGGGAGTGGAGGACGCAGACGGGGTGTAAGCAACAAGAGGAATTTTTTTAATAGCCTGCTTTGGTGGCAACCCATGATCAGATGGAGGGGCTGCGAAATAAGAGGTAGCTTTAATTGCAATTCCTCAGAATGGATTGAAGAGACAATTCGACCACTGTCTAAATACATCACTCCTGGGTGTGAGGTGTGAGGTTGGAACAGCTGAACGACAGGTCCAGGCTTGCCCAAAGGTAGGGCACAAATTTTTGGTCAATAACACTGGGTGTCAAGCTGTGATCATTTGTTATGATGTTCTTGGCCTAATTGTTCTTTTCTAATGTCTGTGGCCCTTTTCATTTATAGAGCCCTTGTGAGATCTAACCCAAGATCACCACGGAAAGGGGCGCAGGATCCAAGTGGCGCAACTTCTTCACAATGTGTGATAACAGAAGTAAATACAGTAAAACAAATTAAATACTAAATGAGATAATGACAAATAAAATAAAACCAGATTTAGTATTAATAATGCGTGTGACCACCTCTATGTCTAATAACTTCCTGAAGTCGATGAGGCATCGACCCAGTCAGCTTTTCTATCGTGTTATGTCCTCTAAGCCTTAGATTCTCCCACACTCTATTAACATGGTTTTGGAGATTCTCCCGAGTCCTCTCCTGCTGGTTGTCCCAGTCGCTGACCATCCACGCCCACACGTGCTCGATGGGGTTCAGGTCTGGGGAGCAGTTCACGCACCACGCGGGCCGTGTGGACGCGTGCAGTGTCTTGCTGAAAAATGAATGGCGTGGGCGGCGCTCCTGGCTCATTGAGGAGCATCCCCACGGACCGCAGCATTACTTCCTCCAGAATGTAGAGGTACTCGACCGCGTTCTGGTGTGCTGTAGTAGGGGTAAGTGCAACGGCTAAGTTTCCCATGATACAGCGCCAGAACCCGGCCGTAACCCGACCACTACGGGACACTGGCGTGATGTTCTCCTCATCTCCCCTACGCAAGACAGACAAAAGTAATCATTATAAGCGTTTCAACTTTTGCATTTCTGCAAGCAGAGTAAGGAAACCCCTTTTTTTTTCTTGCCCAGTGCCCCGTTCCCGCCAGATCCTCCAGCCTCCATTTTCATCCGACCGAAATGTTTTCTCGTCGGAGAAAACCATGGTATCCCAAAACTCTGGTGGATGATGCACATATTGGAGGGAAAAAGCGAGACGGGCTTGCCGATGCTGCTCTGTTAAGAGAGGCTTCTCATCCTTTCGGTAGCAGTGCAAACCTCCCGCTTCCAACCTGCAAAACAGAGTACGGACTTAAATTATGCTGCTAAAAAGAGAAATGAAAAGTGTGTGCCGTAGCTAAAACAGCCGTCCTCGCTTTGCTTATCTGCTGCCCCCACCCCCTACCCTTCTCACAGACCTTATTTCGTCTGATTTCGTCTTAGATTAGATTTACTAACTATTCAAATGATACACACATTTTCAAATTAGACTGTTGGCCGAATTTTAATCTCCCTATTCAGAAAAGATCGTAATAACAATTTCTTGTTAGTTAATGTTTAACCAGGCAGAGCCGCCACCGAGTCTCGTTACTCCAGCATTTCATCAAGACTCGTTTCTACCCTACCAGAAATACTCTCTGCATCTTGCTCTTCCTGGACCTAATAAAAGTATTTGAAATCACTTAATGTAAAAATGCAACACACATCAGTGTATTTAAACTGTCTTTGCTCTCACACACAAAGGCAGTGCCAGCAGTTGCAATAAGTGATATAGATGAATCATCAAACTGTAATCAAAACAGAGGCAAACATGCTAATAAAAATTCATAGAAGTATAATAAAAGAAATGAAATAAAAGTTGCAGTAGCTGGTAACTCAGAACTGGAAAAATTTAAACTGGATGTGCCTGGTTCCATCTATCAACAGAAAAGAATTAATCGGATATAAAGTACACACTTGTGGTATATCATGACATCATTAGATAGCAACTAATAATGTAACTCACGACAAAATGTTGAATATCATTTCCCCTCATCGCAATTCTGAACTCAGCATTCTCCTTTGTTAGCTGCACAATCTCTTCCTTGCGTTTCAAAAGTTCATCCTGCAGCTCAATTATCTGTAAGAGCACACTACTATTCTGGTACTGGAAATTCTGCAATGACGATGAAAGTTTATACTCACTGGGGTAATTTTTGAAAACCATGCAATGGAAATCAGGAGTAAATAATACTTTACCAGAGAGCATGTACTAGACATCGGAGCTCATAGAATAGAAGAAGCTGGGCTTGGCTTAATACAAGTAGGTGGTTTGATTATGAGCAAGCGTTCATCAATAGCTTTCTGAAGATCCTCTGGTGTAGCATCCTTATCCACCCAAAACTTCTTACATTTTTCCATAAACAGATTTTCAAAGTAAGTGTTCATTGCACCAAGCAGTAAATTGTGCATATAATCTACCGGCATTCCTCTAGACTGATTAAAAAAGTTCAGATATGCTACAGATGACACCCCCAAAACACCCCTGCCATGCCTATGTTTCTTACCCTTATTACGATTGCTTGAAGCCAGAAGCAGATCCAGATGAAGTGACTCCTTAGTGCGTTCCACAATTTTTTTTGTGGTCAGGGTATACTTCAGTCCTTTTGCTGTATGAGTTTGTTTTTGGTAACAATAAGTGCACCCATAAAAAGCCTTGTGGCTTTGATGGTTAAGTAACTTGTAACGTGCATCAGAATCACAGATGCACAATAGTGGAATTACTTTACTATTTACAACCTGACCCTTGTGCACCCAATCAAAGCCGCTTGATGATAACTTGTTAGCTTCATCAACAAATGGTTTAAGAAACGTCTTCAGATTGGGTGCACCATTACCATAGTATAATCCAACTATTAAGATATTATTTTTCCTATCTCCGGGAGGAAGCTCATTAATCGTTACATAAATTGGCCAGAAACTTTTTTTAGATTTACCAACACCATCTGTGAAAAATGAATAAGAGAAATTATGAGCAAAAGACAATATTTTCCCTGGTTTGGCATGTGCCTTGTAATCTGCCCCATCATCAAGATTGTCCTTATTTTGTTTAACACGGGAGAACCTATATGTCAGAGCTGACTCGGCTAGTTGCTCATTGGTTTCAAAAAGATTTCTCAGTTGATCTTTAAACGATATAGTTGCAAAATATGTAGCCTTGTTCGTATCATCCAACTTATTTCCACAACAAACTAGATCTTGCTGACAACCAGAATCCACCTTAGAAGCATACTTACAGCATGTTTGGCAATAATAATGGAAAGCTACTTTAGTGTTATCTGTGCCATCAAATAAACGCTTCATCAAACTAATTTTTGTGGCATTAATTTTTTTGGTGCCATATACAAAATTAAACATTTTCATTATGCCTTCTACTGCGACCCAAGTTAAATTATGCCTATAGCCTAGAGTTAAACACATTAGCATTACATCATCAGCGGTGCATTCCGTGTGGTTACACAGAGGTGGCAGCCTTGCCCCACTCTCCTCTTGGCTTCTGCTCATGACGTTCACTGGTGCAATACCATCAGGATCCAATTCTTTTTGTAGAGGTGTTAAGTCACATTCAACATTGGCATCCACGCAGGGCACTTCAGGGCAAATTATATCTCCTTGATGTTCATTAAAATCTGCCAATCCTGCAGAGGCCAGTGGTAAAGTTTGGTTAGTGGGGCCAGCCTGTAAAAAAACACAAAATATTATTATTAAAATGGGAAAGATTTTATAGTGATATAGACTAATTACCAATACTTACATAACCTGTTGAACTTGTGGATGGTTCGACCAACTCAGATGTCAAATGCGGCAAGTTGAATTCATAGGGTGGTTGCCCTACCTGCAAATGAAACACAATGAAGTTTAAATTTACACTGACACTACTGACCCCGTACCGAGTCTAATACCTGAAATTAACTAGAATTTACAATTACCTCATTTGAAGGATTTGAAGTCATGGGCTGTACTATGCTCATCTGGTTTTTCCTGGCCCGGTACCTGCGTGTCCTCATAGCTCCCGCCGATGGACGTCCGTAGCAGAAAAGGTGGTATTTGCGTCCCAGAGTCATCCTGACGTCTGACACTGTTAAAACGCTCAATAAATTTGGTTTGAGAATAAAACAGACGAAACGCCTAGTGTTTAAAGCTAGGCTAGGCTATAGCCGGTACTCGTGAAATCAACGCTACTCAAATTCACGGAATATCACATCAGATTTTATTAGAACTACACCAGTATAGTTCAGCAAAACAGCAAAACTAATACCCAAAAATACCTGACATTGAAAACTAACAAGTGTCAGCTGCAGCGCCAGCAGAAGAGAGGGAGAGCAGACGAGTTTGCGTAAACGTGTTTACCATGTTCGGGTCCACCTAACCACTGCCAACGTGCGACACCACAAAAAACTGTTTCAAAAAAATAATCTTTGTACTTTGTGGACAAAGGTACCTTATTTTCACAATATTATGATTATTTTTTTAGTTGAATGTTGTGGAAGGTTTCAAAAAATCAACACTAATTATAAATGTACTGAAATTTCATGATTCTGTGTTGGCGACATCAAGAAGGAGTAAGAAGAAAATTGAGCTTAAGGGGGGCTATGCGTGTTCGTCATCATGCAGGCCGAGTTATGCCCGGTGCCATACCTCGCGCACCTGGGGATTGAGAACGGCCCGGTCATCGTCGTCGACGTGCTTCGCGCGGTGCACTGCAGCTGTGAAGGGGTGGTGGCGAGCAGTTGTCGCCTCTCTCCTTAGAGTATCTCTCTAGCTCAAGGACGGGACCGTCGGGCAAACGAACGTTGGACGCCCAACTTGCCTCACGTCATCTCAGAACGTTTAGTGGAGGGGAACCTACAGACCCAAAAGTTGAGCCATATTAGAGGCAGTTGGGGGTGGCGTCGTCGTCGTGCTCCGAGAACTCCGATGACGTCCTTCGGGATGCCCGGATGGCTTCGGGACCACCAAATTCTGACTCAGCGCGTCAAAGAACCCCCAGGTACCAAATTTCGTCGCAATAGCACAATAACGAGCGAGCCCCGCACACCAGCTTACCCTAATAACAGAGAAGGGGGACCCCTTTGCTTGCGAACCCGGTGTACATACGAGTGGGCCCAGGTGGGGGGCCAGTTAAGCTCCATCTGGGCCCCAACTAGTGCCCCCTTGGGTAGTGAGCGGGCACCCTGGCGCGCTACCGGCGGAGGGCCTCACGGGGGCCAATTTTTACCCAACCGGGTCCCAACCCAAGCCCCAACTAAGCCCCTACTGGATACTCAACTGGGCCCCGACTCGGTACCCTACTGGGCCCCAACCGGGCCCCAACTGGGCCCCAACCGGGCCTCAACCGGGTCTCCCCGGGTCCCAACTGGGTCTGTACCGGGTCCCAACTGGGTGACCAACTGCCCGCCATCTGGGGCCCTACTCCACAGATCCTGTATCATGGGGAAGCTATAAGCCTAGACAGCATGCAGGGTAGCATTAACAGTCTGATCAATATCATGAACGGTTTTGTGCAAGATGTTAAGGATTTAAAGGAACAAGTGCAAACGTGCACTTCAAAATTTAACAGTGAGACATCATTCTAAGTGATCTGTCAAGTAAAATGAGTAAGTTGGAGAACAAACTCCCTTTTGGTTAGTGAAGGAGAATGTAATGCATACTTATGTGGAAGTGTTCTATCTATGAAATGTTTCAAATTTATTTTTTCTTATTTTTTGTCTAACTATCTAATCTTATGTTTTAGAAACTCATTATTTTGTCAGGGAATCTGTGAAGTTTAGTGGCATGTATTTATTGTGTTTGAGCCGAGTAGTACTGAGATTCCATGACAATATATTTGATTAAATAGGGTTACTCTCAACAACTACTTGGCTGATAAAGTGTGTGGATTTTATATTTGTTTCAATTACTTGTTATCAGTTTGCATTTGTCACTGAATCTGTGATAGTCACAATTTTTACACGATACAGAGATTTTAAATGAATATACTAGAGATTCTGTGATAGAAGTATACTGAAGTTAACATGTTTGCCTTGACAGTCAAGTTCTTGATCATCATATAGGTGTATACCTGGCTGTTGTCAGATTGGCTGCGACGCCAAGGTAAGCACTGATGTCATTAGTTGTGTGAATTTGTAATTTTTAGTGCCCTTCATACTTAACTCTTTTCAATGTGGATTGCGTCATGAGCTGCTTTCGTAAAATTTGCATTTCTGCTGCCTGTATGCTTGCTCTTGTAAATTTTTCTTTACTTGACACTTTTTTGTTATCTTGCTGTCACATAACATGCTGCTCTCTTTCCTGTTGCAGACAATCTGACTACATGTTCAATTGGCAGTTCTGCTGCAAGCACAAGAAGTGGAGTGTCCTGTCAGTCAGAGGCTGAAAAGGTATGAAATAATGATTGTTTCGCTAGTGATTCATAAATTACCTCTCTTGAATTTTGAACTTGTCCTAAAGCTTGCATTCTTTTGCTTCAGGTCGCATGGGGACATGGTTCTGGCATTTTCATAAGGAAAGACAACTTGGACCAAATGACATATTTGGAGAAAGACTGTGTGTGGGCCACAGCTTTCCTCAAAGGTGTGTATGGCGACCAGGCCAAGTACCTGAGAACTACAGTCAGAGAAGGTGGAGATCCCAACTCCAAAGCCATTCCACAGGATGTATTAAAACATGCTAAAAGTATGTACAATTTTAATCAATAAGTGTTGCATAAACCTTTAATTTTGTGAGGCTAATTTATTAATCTTTTTTTTTCAGGGCAATTTATTCAATGGCTAGTATTGAAGGGAGTGGGCATAATTGACGCCACAGAGAAGGCCAAGGAGGCTGGCGACGAGGAGGCGGCTGCAAGGCTGGCGAATGAGCTCCGGGAGTCTGCTATGCGGAGGTTGACCGAAAATGAGGGTACAAGGCCCTACAACCGGCGCTGTCCACGCCAAAAAGACGTAAAAATTTCGACCTGCGTTTTATTCGCGAATAGCCCTTGAGTAGCTGCACCAGGTGCTGCAATCCGTTTTCTCAAACGGTGTCGCGTCAGGAGCGTTAAGAACAAGGCCCTCCGCCCCACCACCAAGTGACCCTCGGGACGCCTTTCCGCCCGCGGCGTTCGATCTGGCCTTCAGATGTTGGATAGATCAATTCTGACACTGTCAAGTGCTACATCGAAGGTCGAGGAGTTTGAAGATTCACGCCAGAAGAGTTGTGGCGGCCTTCTCTAGCCATCACAGCAGAGGACGCCGTCGGCCAGGCGCCCGCCTTCATCCGTATTATGACTCCAATCCGTCCTGCAACAACTGTGGGCTGTTTGGACACAATTACGGCCAGTGTCGAAAACCAGGAGGTGGAGCTTTCCGGGGTCGTGGAGACTTCAGAGGCTTCAGAGGTTCAGGACGGGCTCTTGGAGCTTCAACAGCTGATCAGCCATCGTCATCAACAACAACAACAACCCCTTCGCCGCCTGCTCCCCGCGGCGGCCGTGGAGGTGGCTGTGGCAGCTGGGGACTCCAGCCACGGAGGACGCGGTGGCTATCGAGGGGGCCGTGGTGGCCATCATGCATCGTCTACTATCGAGTTGACAACAAATCCCACGGTAGGAGAAGACACGTTTGTGTCTGGAAACGATACTTTGGGAAGTTTGTTTATGGCCGCAGAGGACACGGTGTCTGCTGACACTGCCTTTCATGAAAGGGACTCAGTGTACATGGTTGGTATGGCAGAGATGATGGTAAAGTTTTTCCTCGATTCTGGGGCGTCTAACCATATGGTCCGTTCGGGTGTGCCGGTAGTTAATGTGAAGAGGTTATCTAACCCTATTAAAATCCAAGTTGCTAAATCAGAATTATTTCTACATGCCTATCAAAAGGCTGTACTTAAATGCAAAGTAACTACTGAAGGAGTCACGAGAGATCTTGCAATAGAAGTACTAATTGTTCATAATCTTGCTCACAATCTTTTGTCCATCTCTAAACTAACTAACTCTGGTAATACAGTCACTTTTGGCAAGAATGAGTGCATTGTTTCTAATAATGGCTCTTATGTTGCAGTTGCTCAAAGAACTGTAAGAAATCTTTATGAATTAGGAGTCACTGTCGACATGGAGGCAGATGAGTCTTTAATGGTTGCTCATAGTGAGGATATCTGGCACAAACGAATGGGGCATTTGGGTAAGCAGTACCTGAAAAGGCTACCAAATTTGGTGACAGGCATGTAAATGTCTAAACCAGACGAGGTAAACTCAGGTGTGTGCGAACCATGCTTGGAAGGTAAACAAGCGAGGGAACCTTTTACAGGCACAAGGGAGCGTGCATCCAGGCCTCTGGAACGCATTCACTCTGATCTCAGTGGGCCATCCAAACCTGCATCTTATGATGGGATACAATACGTAATGACTTTAACAGATGACTTACTCATTTCTGTGTAGTGTTTGGTCTCAGAAAGAAGTCTGAAGCATCAAAATATTTTAAAATTTATGAGGCTAGAGTCACTAGTCGCTTTCCCTACAAAATATCTAAATTCAGGTGTGATAATGGAGGAGAGTACATTAATAAGGACTTTGAGGCATTCTTTGAATCTAAAGGGATAGAGTATGAGTTGACAATGCCTCATACGCCTGAAAATAATGGTGTTGCTGAAAGAATTAATCGTACTTTGTTTGACAGAGCTCGCTGTATGCTGAGTGGCAGTAACCTCCTCAAAAGCTTCTGGTATGAAGCAGTAATGACTTCAGCGTATCTGTTAAACAGGTCCCCGACAAAAGCAGTAGACAGGACACCAGCAGAACTATGGTATCGTAAGAAGCCTGACCTCTCCAAGCTGAGAGCCTTTGGATATCTGGCTTATGCTTTCATCGAGCCAGTGGATAGGGAGAGTACTAAGGTCGGTTCTAGAAGTAAGAAATGTATTATGCTTGGTTACTGTGATAATGGTTATAGACTGTGGTCTATAACTGAGGGGAAAGTAATTAGATCTAGGAATGTTATTTTCAATGAAACTAAATTTAAATATGATGACTTTGACAATTGCATTTTCAGGGATAACATGATTGAACCAAATGACAATGATGAAACTAATGAAAGTGATCAGTTACAGGAAAATGATGTTTAAGGCTCAATTTCAGGAGGGGATGAGCCAAATGAGCCAAACAGGAACCGAGACCTACCCATCGCATTTGAGGACTTCGAGGAGGACAGTGAAGCTGCAGGACCAAGGAGGAGCACCTGGATACCAATAAGACCAAGGCATTTAGAGGATTATGTAGAATTGGCTAAAATTACTTATTTTGTTTCTGAACTTTGGCGGAC